GACCAAGGGAAGCTGGACATCACTGTTATGAGATTTATAGTCCTTGCAATTAAAAGGTGGACCCACATCTGGGGAGCGGGACGTCACCAGATGGGATTCTGCTTCCTTCTTTCAGAAACCAGACCAGCACCATCTGGGGATGCTCCTTTTTTGGGATACATCCTGAGAAATACTAAATCACAATAGTGTATAGAATTGTGACATAAAAATTGGGAATAGAAACTGCTGATCAGTAAAACTTGGGAATAGAAACTGCTGAGAAAGCTGATGAGTACCCCTATAAACACCTGTAAGCCTTGACTATGTGTGTGCAGTTGGAGGGAAAACTTCCCCCACTGTACCCAGCGCTGTATTGCTCATACTTTACCATATTAATTAATAAATTGATTGCTGTTTGAATATTGGCCTAGCCAAGCTTCTTATTCATAACATAACTTTGCCAGGCAAATGTCTGGCATTAAGCAGGAGTCCTTGAGCCCTGGGAGCTTCCTTATCATCCCAGGCAAAAGGAGAGCCATGGTGACTCCGTGGGGACTCCAGGACACAAAGACCCTGTGAGCCCTCAGCTGGAGAGGATAAGGAGGTGTCAGTGCTGCCTGTAGGAGGAAGGCTGTGTGGGGAAATGAGGATGAGCAGCAGGAGAGCCAGAGAGGAGCAATGCCCTGGGCCTGGCACCTTCAGGTGGCTTTGCTGGAGCAGTTTGGAGGAACCAAAGCCTCAAGGTCCTGGCAGGGGACATTAAAGGGCTGGGGGGGGTCATGCTGCAGGCCAGAGAGTGGCAGTGGTGGCTCAGCATGCCACCCTTGTCCCCAGGGTCCCCTTGGTGTGTGTAGGGGTGGCAGCAGGGGCTGCTGCAGAGTCACTGGTGAGGATGACAGGATGAGGATGTCACCAGGGGAGGTGACAGTGTGTTCTAATGGAGCATTCTCTCCTGCTTGCCTTTGCAATCCCCAGGAGAAGATTGAATATGCCTTCCTCATCTTCTTTGCCATCGAGGCCATGCTGAAGATCATTGCCTACGGCTTCCTCTTCCACACGGATGCCTATCTCCGGAACGGCTGGAACGTGCTTGACTTCTCCATTGTGACCCTAGGGTAAGGGAAAATGGGGAGGCTGCTGCTGTTCAGCTGCTGCCAGGCCTCTTTCACAAACAGTTTTGATTGCCATGTGTTTGGGGACACCTTCTTGACTAAGTTCATGGGCCCCCTGTTCCTGCTCTGACATTCCCTGGGATCGTCTCTGTTAGGAAAATTAATCTACAAACACCAGAGGTTTATGTCTAAAAGGAGACAGAGGAGTCCTTTGGCTTTATTTGAATAAAGGGAGAGGCCATGGGGCATTGCTCTGGGGTCTCTCGCATTTTTGGAGGACACAGACTCCTTTTTATCCCAATTTCCCAGCTGCATTTCCCTTCTCTCTTTCCCCATTGGCTCAGGTACTTGAGAGGTACAAACTTCCCAAAGCATCTGATACCAAAGATTTCCCAAAGATCTCCCTCTAATGCATAACCCTCCCTTTTAATTTTTAATTCTTACGGAATTTAGAGGTTTGTCTTCCCCAATGTTTCTTTAATCTCTCAATTTCTAATTTTGTTTATCAGCAAACCTAAAGTTTATTTGTAAAAGCAAATATCTTTTTCCATTCATCAATCAGTGGAATCCTTCCCGTGGTTTCTTTTATCTCCCAGTGCTGGTTTTATCTACCAGCAGACCCACAGCTTGTTTGCAAAGACAAATCTGCTATTCCTCTCTCTAACTTCGATTTCTTCCTGTCTAGACTCCTTTGTGCCCCGTAGGTCTCCTTGCCCTGGGGAAAGGGGGTGGTGTGGGGTCCTCCAGGGTTTGCACATGGGGTGGGAGCTCCCTGGCTGTCAGCAGTGGAGCTGGCCTTGCCAAGAGCTGCCCCTGGGCGAGGCTGAGCACGGCCGGCAGTGCTGACCTTGCTTTGCTGCCTGCAGAGCTCTGACTCTTAGCTCCGATTTCTCACTCTCCATTCTCACTCCCTTCTCTTTTTCCTTGTCCTTCCTCCTTCTCCTCCTCCCTCCCCTCCCTGTGCCCTGGCTCTTTCAGGCTCATCACCATGACCCTGGAGCAGGTCAATCTGAAGCAGGCAGGGCCCTCGGGGGGCAAAGGCGGCTTTGACGTGAAGGCGCTGCGAGCGTTCCGCGTGCTGAGACCCCTGCGCCTGGTGTCCGGAGTGCCAAGTGGGTGCCAGGCCCTGCTGCCACCCAGGGCTGGGCTGGACGGACCCTCTGGGCCTGGCCAGGCTGGGGGGACATGGGACAGGCTCCTTGGTGTGGCTGGATTCAGCCCAGCCACGAGGAAGGTGTAGAGGAGAAACGGGCTCTTGCTTGTTCCTGCA